ACACCTGTGTTTCCCACATTCTGGCTGTCTTTGTCTTCTTCGTTCCAGCTATCACCATGTCCATGATGCACCGTTTTGGGAGGCACCTGCCCCACATTGTACATGCTCTTGTTGCCTATGCGTACTTGGTGATACCTCCTGTGCTCAACCCCATCATTTACAGTGTGAAGTCCAAGCCCATCAGAGAGGCCATGCTCAGGATGCTGAGGAAGAGAGGCCAAGGCTGATGAAATTACAACATATCTTAAGGCCTGCGTAACATAAAAGAGACTACAAGAGTCTTACAGAAACCTATTAGAACCAGCAAGCACTGAAAATCCCTAATCTGTGCTAAGATAGTGGGAGGCCCACAGGTTTATTCGTGTCAGAAATTTATGTTCAGCATTTACTTTGTAAGAAAGTAGTGATGAGGATGAAAGGCTGAGAAATAAATGAAATAGGTTCCCTTGCCACCGAAAGCTCACAATCTTGTGCCAGGAGAAAGGCAAGTAAAGATACAACCAGACTATAAACCAATAAGTTACATAATAAAGTTATTCTCAAAAGATTGCTGGAGATTACAAATTGGTCGTTGGCAGAACATGTTTGGGAAGGTGTGGCAAGCTGCCACAAAGGAGATACTTTTTACTTCACCTTGAAAAATGTAGAGTATTTCTAGGCAAACTAAATTAAATAAGAGAAAAATCTAGAACAAAAGAGCAACATGAAAAGAAGACTCCACATTTTGAAAAAGAAAAACTGTTTGTGAAAAGGTGTGCATTCCTGTACTTCTCTATGTCTCCATCACTTATGTCTTCATAGCCATGCCTGTGGCAAAGAGCAAGAAAAGGGAGTGGTAGGGATGAAAGAGCAGGTGACCAAATTGTATAGGACCGTACGTCCTACGCTAAGTGGTTTGGTTTGTATCCAGTACATAAAAATCATTACTTTTTTACTATGACTTAGTAGTATAAATTTCAGATTGGAAGAGCATTGGACATATGAACAAAACTGGAGCCAGGAAGACTAATCAGTTTAACCTCTTATCTGGCCTCAGCGTTTTCCCAGATACCTTTCACGCTGCCTGGAATGTTCTCGTTCCCCCCATGCCTGTGTCTCATTTCTAACTGCTCCTCTCATTTTGTCAAGTATAAACCTAATTTCTCAGAAAATCCTGTCTCATTAATTCTCCTTTCCATATTATTCAAGGGACTGTGTTTGCTTCTTGCATGTATACAACAGTTTGTCATTCAACTAGATGGCAAGCCCTGAGGATGCCAACATATACTCAGTGCCTAGTGCTGTTGGTGGAACAGCAGATGCTCAATAATTATTTTGAAGATTCAATGATAAATTATTTAACAGGAGATAAAGCAATGGGTTATTTAACGGTAATTTGGAGATGTTTTCCTCTATGGAGCTTTTGGTCCTTCAGAGGAAAGAATATATATAAATAATTGTATGTGAGAAAGTTTTCAGCTACATTGAGTAGAGGAACTGGAGACATGAGAGATGCAATACAGCTGACTGACGGAAATAAGTACTCTCCTGTAGTCAAGAAAAGTTCCCTAATTTCTCACCATAGGGCATCTCCTGGACCTTTTTGATGGAAGTGATGTCCTTCACACCTCCGGCAGATAAGTACTGGATGAAGCTGGAAACCATCATTCTCAGCAAACTGACACAAGAACAAAAAACCAAACATCAGATGTTCTCATTCATAAGTGGGCATTGAACAATGAGAACACATGGACACAAAGAGGGGAACATCACACACCATGGCCTGTCGGGGGGTTGGGGCATAGGGGAGATTGCAGGGAGTGGGGGGACTGGGGAGGGATAGCATTAGGAGAAATACCTAATGTAGATGACAGTGATGGATGAAGCAAACCACCATGGCACGTGTATACCTATGTAACAAACCTGCACGTTCTGCACATGTACCCCGGAACTTAAAGTATAATTTAAAAAAAAAAAAAAGAAGAAAGAAATAGAAAGAGCTTTAGAGGACAAATACTAAGATTTGCTTGTGTGTTTCTGCTGGAATGCACTTTCTTACAAGGTGAAGTTGTAAGGACATGTGCACCTCTCTCTTCACCTGTGCCACTACTCCTACTACACGTGAGGTTGGTTTCACAGGATCTCAGTATGTAGCATTGGGTAAGTAGAATGATATGTTATAGTGTTTAAGTATACAAGCTTTAGAATCAGGAAAACAAAACTTACTCAAACTCTGTCACACTGTCTCATTCAGCTATCCTATCTGACTTGGAGCACTTTATTCTTCATGTATTAATGAATAGTTCTTTATTTTTCTCTTTAGTGACTCCTGTGAGCCAGACACTCTGTTACACGATGGGCAAGATTAGAATGCTACGAAAACCAGACTTGATCCCTGTGGGAGGAAAACACACTAATTAAATATGTTTGCAAAGAAATATAAATTTGCAATGGCATGAAGCCCTATCCATTTAGGATTCTCTTCCCCCAGGGGATTATGTACTCCATGAGGGAGGAGTTTAAACCACCTTTGTTCTGCATTGCATTCTCAGTGCTGGGTTCACACTCATTTTAATAGCACTAAGAATGTATTTGATGACTGCATTAGTTTCCTATTGCTGCACAGCAAAAAAAAAAAAAAAGGCAGCTTAAACCAATGCCCATTTATTAGTTCATATTCTGAAGGTCAAAAGTATGGGTGACCTTCTTAGCCTTAAGAGAAGTATAGCTGGGTTTCTCATAAGGCTAAAATAAAAGTTTCAGCTGACTGGGTTCTAATTTGGGAGCCTAGAGGAAGAAACCACTTTCATTCTGGTTTTTAACAGAATCCAGTTTCCTGAAGCTGTGCCACTGGAATCCCTTTTCCATTGCTCTCTGTTGGTCTCCCTCCACTCCCTAGACTACACATGTTCCTTCTCACATGCTCCTCCATCGTCACGCCAGCAACAGCACATCACATCCTTGCCATGCTTTGAATATCTCTGACTTCTTCTGTTACCAACTAGAGAGATGTCTTGTTTTTAAGGTCTCACGTGATTAGACCAGGCCCATGGGGATACAATCTCCCTATCTGAAAATCCAATTGTACGATATAATATGTAACACAATCCCAGGATTGACAGCTCATCATATTTAAAGGTTCTGGAAGCCAGAGCAGGACATTTCTGTAGGGTCATTTTAGAATTCTGCCTATAAAAATGACTACATAAGTGAATTAAGAATAGCTGGTTCTATAAACGTATACAATAAGGGTATCTGACCTACCCTAAGGGTTAAGGAATGAGTTTTCTCAAGAAGTGATAATTAAGAGGAAGTCTGAATATTAAAAGATATATATATAAAACTGAGAAAGAATGTTTAGGAGAAGGCATATTAGGCATAAAAAACCATGTTTCCAAAGAGCCTGTAAAGGAGGAAGTATGGTGAAATAAAGGAGAGAAACAAAAGGCAGTGGGACTGGAAGTCAATGAGCAAGGAGCCCATGGTTCAAGAGAAGCCTGAAAATAGAAATGGGTTCAACCAAAAAGGTGGGAAATACTAAGAGTATTTTAAGCAGAAGAGAGAGTGGTTTTGACATGATCACATTTGCCTTTGGAAACAGGGTTTTACATTGTGTTGCAGAGAATAGATTGAATTAAAGCTATAATGCATGTAAATATACCAGTTACAAGGCTATTGAAATAGTCAATATGAATTTATTGTAACATGGATTAGGGGAGTAGAGGTACAAATAAAGAGAAATATGGGATCAAAGTTATAAAAGCAGTAGAAACTATATAACTTTATTTGGAATTAAAGATGAAGGTTAAGAGAAGAAAAAGAAAAGAGCAAGTTTCAGTCCTAGGTTTGAGGCTTGCACATCAGAATTAGTGGTGGCAAGACTAACTGATATATGAAACATGAATGATGAATATAATTGCATAAAGAATATCATGAATTTGATTTCTGGACACTTTGAGATTGAAGCCTCCAAATGTCTGGGTTACACAGACATTAGACTTACAAGCCTAGAGCTCTATACTAGCCCAATAATCTAGTCTAAAGATACAAATTAAGTCACTGATATACAAATGGCAAACTGAATGGTGTGTGCGTGTGTGTGCGTGCGTGTGTGTGTGTGTGTGTGTGTGACTGCATGGGAATTAGAGGCCACCAACTCAAATTTTATAGATCAGCAGCAAATACAAGTATTAACTGTGTAGGAATTAGAGGCCTGATTCGATTGCAACATATTCTCTCACCAGGCAGAGTAGAATGCATGTGCAAAGGAAACTCAGAAGTATACAGAGATAAAAACAGAAAACCATGAGTGTGATGCTACAAAGGACAAAGGGAGAAAATGTATCAAGAAACAGAGTGGCCAACTGTGTTATATGTTGATGAGAAATCAGGGAAGATAAAAACTAAAGACCTCAGACACACAGAGGTTTCTGATGATGTATAGTAAAAGTTCTTTGGTAGTTTGACCAAGGCCAAAACTAAACTGGAATAGTGGAAGAGTTATCTGAGAGATGTGTAAATGAAAATAAGTTACAGATAACTTCTCTAAGAAATTTGGCTATTAAAGGGAAGAGACAAAAGAGTTTTAGACAGAGTTATCATGGTGGTTGTCTATATTGTTGCTTTTAATATGGAAGGTTTGAACATGATAAATGCCAGGAATGATTCATTTGAGAGAGTGAGGTTGAACATCCATGACAGAGGAGAGATAACAATGTAAGTTTCCTAAGAAGTTGGGATGGGAGCAATGCAAAACAAATTAATAGAAACCTACATGAGACACAGCTTGACGTCATGATGATTAATAAGGACTTTGTGATATTTATGATAATGTAAGGAAATATTTCCTCCTTTGATAAATGTATACCTCTTATGTTTACTCTGGAAGGAGGAAGAGCAGTCTTTCCTGAGTCCTTCAGTTTTCAGTTTTCATTTCCTTTAGTTTTTAAGCTATTTATTCAACAACTATTAAATTAGTGTTTTATTTACAAGGCTAGAATCCTTTAAGAACAATAAAATCATTTTCAGAGATTGATACACTAGTACTTTATTTTTCACTTATCCAACTGCCTGATGCAAATACAAGGGGGACTTGCAAATGACAGAGGTTTGGCCCTGCACAGTTGTTTTAGGAATCCAGGATTCTGGTGGTTTGCTATGTGTAAAACATAGCTTCCCAAGTTACATTTAATGTCCGCGTGAAAGACTGCACATGGGAGGGCTTTATGAGCCAGGTATAGAAGTGGTACATGTCACTTCCACTCACATTGAAAGTAATGGCTAGAATTTAATGAAACCTAACTCAAAGAAGGCTGGACAATGGCCTGGCTGTGTGTTCAGGATGGAAGGAATCAGGTTTGGTGAAAAATAGACAGTATCGAGCATAAGCACTATTATGTTCTAGGCCCTTTGCTGGGGATTCGGTGATAAGCAAAGAGCAATCAATGATGAACACAGATGACACTCACTAACAAACAGTGCCCTCATGGGCTTATAGTCCAGCAGCAAATACAAGTATTAAATAGCCATTTCCAAACATTATATACATTACAAAAGGGGATGAAAGATGTTATGGGAATCCATATCAGGAAACCTGAGGATTGAAGAAGAAAATGAATCTCACCACATACATGATCACGTGTTAGTATTTGTTATGGAGTTTCTGGGTTAAGACTGTTGTCATATCCTGTTGAAGATGAAACCTATTAACACTTGGTAATAGCCCCTCAGAAGCAGAAATGCCTGATTCCCATGCCTAAGTCAGATTACTTTCTCAAAGTACCTGTTTCATACTACACAAAGCCCCAAACAAAGCATAGTCCTGAAGATTCCCTCACTTTCCAGCTACCAGTCACACTCAAAAGGCCAATGTTGTCTTCAACACCTGCCATTCCATACTTCCCATTGCAACTGGTGGCTCCCTAACCTCCCTGCCTATCAGAATCACCTATGGAACTTTTAAAACAAATGGCTGTAAGCCCCATGCCAGATTTGTTGTATAAGAACCTTCCATAATGGTGGACCTAGAAATCACTTCTGCTTCCAAGACACAGGTAAAGTGACAATTGGACCAGGACAATAATCAATAGCCATGAGTTTGTTGTCAGGAAATTCCTAAATACAACACTGGATGAATGAGAGAAAATTAAATACCTCCTCTAGAAAATGTAAGATTCTGGAAATCTCTAACCCACTATCCTATTGGTCTAACTGACAGTTCTTCCACATAATATGAAATTGGGCATTAAAAGTCTTTTTTTTTATTTTTGTACCTGTATGACTCCATTTAATTCACTGATCCTCACTGAACATCAATTTTTCCATTGCCACAATAAGGGTACTGATCATATCTTTGCCTAAATTAAAAAGTTGATTAGAAAATTAAATAGGAAAATTACTGTCCAATCAGTGTTCATATGCTGTGAAAACTATCAAAGCAGAATGTGTCAACTTTCATTAATGTAGATAAATGTATTCTTTTCAAGGCTTTACTTCCAATCTTCCCCTTAAGTGCTACATCCAGAAGAAAAATTATTTCTTCTCTGAAGAAGTCATTTTGAAGACGGTCTTTTTCTGAGATCCAATGTGGTTGAGAGTTCTGAAGAGGAAGTTACAGTTTTAAGTTAGATTATCTCATTTTATTATATTCTTGTGTTTATTTTCCTTTTGCCATGTTTAAGCCTTTGGCAAATGTTCTTTAGATGCACTACTCTTGTCTCAGAATGCTGTGGACCATCAGTAGAAGCAGTTTAGATTTGGACTGCATGGAAAAATGGAAAGTAATAACTCTCCAACCACAACCAATCCAGGGTATTAATAACTGTATAGAGAGAAAAAAAAAGGAAGAAAATAATATTGAAAAATAGAGATTCCCCAACTAGTTTCATATCTGAAGGATCTGAGTTGTATTTTTATCAAGGAAAATTTTTTTCTGAATACTGTCGTCCAAAATGTTGATATTAAAATCTGAATCAGAGGACTCTGAATGGAAAAGAAGTTTGATCGCTGACACCTAAGGGTCTGAAGTGTGTGTGGACACGTGGAAAAGTCGAAGGATGCGCTGTCGGATCTCCTTCGTCTTCACTCCATAGACAATTGGGTTGAGCACAGGAGGAACCAGCAGATAGATATTGGCCATGATGACAGGCAGGAGAGAGTCACGCCGCTTACTAAAGCGGTGCACCATAGACAATCCAATGAAAGGTACATAGAATATGAACACAGCACACACATGAGAGACACAAGTACCAAATGCCTTGGCCTGGGCTTCACGTGTCAAGCCCAACACAGTCTTAAGGATAAGCAGATATGAGAAGGAGATGAGAAGTGAGTCCAGGCCTATGGCAGAGATGATGACAATAAGGCCATAGATGACATTGACCCGGATATCAGCACAGGCCAGCTTCATGACATCTTGGTGTAGGCAGTAGGAATGGGAAAGGATATTGGAGTGGCAGAAGGGCAGCTGCTTGATGAAGACAGGAAGGGGTGCCATCAGTGCAGCCCCCCGTACCACAGCAGCCACACCAATTTTGGTGACCCGAGGCAACGTAAGCACTGTAGCATGGCGCAGTGGGTGGCAGATGGCCACATAGCGGTCAAAGGCCATGGCCAGCAGCACTGTGGATTCCATGCCAGATAAGGAGTGGATGGCGAACATCTGCAGCAGACAAGCATCAAATTGGATGGTGGTGGAATTGAACCAGAAGATGGCCAGCATTTTGGGCATGGATGAGGTAGAGATAAGGATGTCAATGCCTGAAAGCATGCAAAGAAATATATACATGGGCTCGTGCAGGCTGTGCTCGGTCCGCACAACGTAGATGATCATCAAGTTACCTAGCACAGCAATAAGGTAGAGGGAGCACAATGGGAAGGCCAACCAGAACTGAGCTTCTTCCAAACCAGGGAGGCCTATTAGGATGAAGTATGTAGCACTGGATTCATTACCATTGGGACCCACCATCATGGAGAAGCTGAACTGGGACCAGCACCAGGCAGGTAGAGGCTGGAATGCAAAGATAAGCCATTGTCAGATCCTTGAGAATCTCAATACCACACCTCACTCTATCCTATTCTCTAACTCAAATTCTAATTCCATTTCTTATGCAAATTCTAATCATTTTCTAAATGTAATCTAACATAATTCAAGGACCAGTCACAAATTCATCCAGTCCTACTTACTAACCCCACCTGTATTGTTAATTCTGGTAGCAAGTGAAAGACTAAGACAAAAATTTAAAACATATTCCAAATCATTTAGTTCTCCAAAGAAAGGCTACTGACTGAATATAAGAGTCTTAGCTGATGAAAAAAAACTCATAATTTCCTCTATCCTAGCCTTCCTTTATGCTTCCCTGTGCTCAATACTAACTGCAATTCTAAGCATATCATTAGACTATCCTTTAAAGAAATTCCAGTCCAAGTGTAATAATAGTAATAACAGATTAATATTGAAACCTAACTCCATTACTAATCTAATGATCTCCCCAATTCTAGACTTAATCCTGACTTTAACATTAACTTAAGATTTGACCTTTTATTAACCATTTCAATCTTAATTTAAAGATTGAATTTATGATATTCAACTCACAATTCACATTCTATTTTATTACGATAAACCCTAATCTAACAAAAAACTGACACCAAATTAGTCCTGAACTCTATTTCTACATTTCCTTCTTGTCCAAATGACCCCCAAAGTTTTACACTTGTCCAGACTACTCAGTTTATTTCAAAAAAGGGAATGACAGCTATAGCGGATGCCATTGGTGTCCCAGCCATATCCCATTCACAAAGCCAATGCAACCATCTCCCATCTGCACTGAGTATTGAGTGCTAAGGGCTCACAGCTCCTCCTCTTTACAGAGGATTGTCCTTGGTCAAATGGGAGGCACCTCATCCAGGAGGGTACACTATGCCCCCATGATGCACATCTAGAGGCCAGTGGCTCCCTGACAAAAGGGTACCAAAAGACTCCAGGTGTAACATTGCCTCCGGGTGCAACAAATACTTCAATGCAATTTGTACTGCAGAGCTTTCCAAGGAACAAGGCTGAAGCTAGTCTCCAGCTGAGACCACAGCCCTGATTAGCTTTCTTCCCCTGCCCTCCCAGGATTTCCTCCTTCTTCTTCTCATAACAGTACTCCCTCAATATGTCATTTGGACAAGAACCCCCACCTCAGGTTCTGCTTCTAGGAGACCCACCCAACCTGAGAGAGTGGGATTTATATAACTAGAATACTAACCCTGAGGGGTGATGGCATTAGAAGCACCAGAGACATAATCAACCCTATAGCAGAGTTCAGTCTACAAATGAACTGAATCTTACTATACAAAATGATTTATATAAAAAGATATTGCTGAAGTGGGAAATGTCAGAGTTGGGTCACCTCAGACTGCATGTCTCTGTAAAGAGTGAACTGACTCCCTCCCTCCCTTCCTTTCCTCCATCTACAAATATTCATGTGCTCCTACTACAGAGTAGCCCTCCTCTGAAATGCTTGAAACCAGATGTGTTTCAGATTTTGGATATTTTTGTATTTTGCAATAATTGCATTATACATACCCAGATTAGCACTCCTAATGCAAAAATCCGAAATTTGAAATGCTACAATAAGCATTCTTGTTGAACATCATCCTGGCACTCAAAAATTGCAGATTTTGGAGTCTTGCAGATTTTGGATGTTCAGATTAGGGATACTCAACCTGTATTTATTAAATCATGTATATTGTAGTTTTTAAATAGATTTGGCCCTTGAAAGTTTGAGAGCTGGGGTAGGAGTTTCTGCATGGGTTACCAGAAAGTACCTGACTATAAGTTAGAGTTCATGGCCAGCATCAGAAGAGGTCCCCGGGCTCAGAGTGTGTCACAAATCTCTGTACCACCATCAAGCAGTCACCAGAGATTCAGAGATTTCCTCAGACCAGACAGAGATTAGTGGGAAAAATATTAGGAGCATGAATAGTAGAACAGAGGGTGACAGTGTGTAATTCAATCTGCTGGGAAGGGAAGGTTTAAAATGGAGAAACCATATTTAACCTAGAACTTCAGGCAAAGAGGGCCAAAGTCATCAATGTCCTTCTTGCTGCTGCAGCTTCTCTGCAGCATGTGGCACTGGGAGCCATTTCGTTCTTCTTAGAGCTTCTCCCTCTCCCTCCTGCTGTTCCTCAGCTCTTTCCAATCACTAATTATTGGTTTCGTTTCTGGATCTTCATTCTCCTCTCCAAAACTGTATCTTCAGTGCTCTTCTTGTTCTATACTCTCTTCCTGGGGCATCTCACCCCCTTCAGTAAATCCATTTTTGTTGTACAAACAATTGATACCCAAACCTACTTATTGAACCCCAAATTCTCTTTTATAAACCAAGTTCATAGTTCTGAAGACGTACTAAAAGGGGTCACCTGGTTTTCTCTCAAGCACATCAAACTCTCCATGTTCAAAAAACAAACTCTTCCAGGGACAGTATTGTATAGCTGTTACGAGTATGATCTTTGAAATCAATCTTGCATTCTAAACCCAGTCTACAACCCCTAGAGCTGTGTGATCTGGGGTAAAACATTTAACCTTTCTAAGCCTCAGCATCCTCATTATTAAAATGATTATAAGAGTCCCTGCCTAATAGGGGGTCAATGTGAAGATTAAATGAGATGATGAATGTAAAGCATTTAACGCAATACCTCACACATCGTAAGTATGCAAAAAATCCTATCTGCTGCTGTTCACCATTTTACTCCAGTGTTCTGTTTTGTTCTGCTTTTTCTGTTATGGTGGCCTGAACCATTATACAAACCTCTGAAGGGGGTGAGATGCCCCAGGAAGAGAGTATAGAACAAGAAGAGCACTGAAGATACAGTTTTGGAGAGGAGAATGAAGATCCAGAAACGAAACCAATAATTAGTGATTGGAGAGAGCTGAGGAACAGCAGGAGGGAGAGGGAGAAGCTCTAAGAAGAAGGAAATGGAGAAGCTGCAGCAGCAAGAAGGACATTGATGACTTTGGCCCTCTTTGCCTGAAGTTCTAGGTTAAATATGGTTTCTCCATTTTAAACCTTCCCTTCCCAGCAGATTGAATTACACACTGTCACCCTGTTCTCTGATCCTGACTGCCATGCCTCTAGGGTAACCTTCCTCATCCATACAATCCCAACAGTCTAATCAGATGAAACCAGCTCACTCCCTATTATTTTTTAAAATACCCTTGAAACTCCAAATTAGTTCTAGAATAAAGACTAAACTTCTTATGCCGTGGTTAAAGGTCTGTCTTTCATCACCCAGACCTGGGTTTCTCCCTCATCACAACCTCTATGATCCAGCCACATTGGAGTCCGTGCTATTTCAAAAATGCAGGCTTGATTCCCATGCCTCTGTGTCTTTCTGTCTTTTTTTTACTTCTCATACTTTTCAAGAAAAACTGTTCCTCCCAGATCTTCCTCCTTGACTTCCCACACTCATTTTTCACGTCCTGGCTTACTGTCTCTCTCCTCTACTACTTTTCCTAAGCTTCTTTTACACAGGCACAATTAAATGTTTACTGCCCTTTATTCAAAAAGAATAGTATTTAGGTCTTTTTTAAAGTATTTATTCTGTTGATAATAATAACTATAATAATTGCTATATTTTCCCCTGAATTATGAGCTCCTGAACACCAGAAACCCTATTATATTTATTAATTAATGTTTAGTTAATGTTTGTTGAAGATGAAAATGAGTTTTATTAACAGGAGAGTCTCTTAGTATACATCTAGTGAGGCTAACACAGCCAAGGGCATATTAGGACTGTCTGTTAACTGAACTAAAGAGACTTTTGAGAAAGATGAAATAAAGTTTGGAAGGTCAGTGCAGAGTAATTTTAATTTTAGAAAATAATCTTTAGGTCAAATATAAAAGTCCTTTCTTACCCAAGGATCAGAGGGCAAGAGAAATATATAATAATAAAAAAACAGAGCAGTTGCAAAGTCTTGGTCCATATAAATGCACAGGGAACATGTAGCACAATTTGTGCCTAAGAGCAGGATAGACCCAAGATCTCTCACCTAGAGACATTGGCAAGAAGGTTCTGGCACTCCAGAGGGCCAGATATCCATGCCATCTATCAGTTTTATATGAACAGAGCAGGTTGATACCCAGGATTAAAAAAATGTGCTGTCTCAGGAGAAACACTGGGAAAGAACTCTGGCTGGGCATATGCAACACTATTGCCTCTGAAGGTAGAGTAATGTGGTGAACAGAATCCTGGGGCTTAGAACACAAGTCTTGGCACTAAATAAATTCAGAGAATAGTAATAACTGCATAGTGCTGCTGTGAAATTATATGAGATAAGGCATGTAGAAAGGAATTGCAAAAACTAAATCAGAGTACACAGAGTTCATTGTTTTCGGCAAAAATGGGCAACAAGGTCTCTGAAAATGTATGAAATTTCATATACTTTTCAATTTCCCAAATTTGTCACCTTAATCACCACTCAGCCTCTATGTACACAGTCATACACACACATATTTACTAGCAGTCAATCTCCCACAATAGCAAGAATGAGCACTGATACAAAGACACCAGAAACCAAAAAAGGGAAGATTCAGCTGGCCTGGGAGGGAGGTGCCTGGGAGTATAAAATGGGCAGCTATCACTGGGGCTAAAATACCAGCCTGAACCCCAGAAGACTACAGCAGGAGAGAAATGAAGGGATGGAGAGGGAGTCAGCCAGAGAGCCCAAGTGCCACCCTTTAGATTGGCCAGCCCTGATGCGTCCCAATGTTCTACAATCCCTCAAGACAGACAGAGGGACCTATGACTTCCAGATGGCCTGGCTTGAACAACTGTTAGCAAGTAGAACTAAGTGAGATGGTTTGGAGCTCTGGACGAAGTTGGAACTAAATTATTTTTAAAATAAGGCACAATCAAGAAAAAATAAACAAAGCATATTTTTTTAGAAAGCATACACACTGTTCTAATCCCCAAGGAATAGCCCTGTGCTGAGATTTTCTCTGAATAACTAGAACTATCTTAGCAAGTTCAGGAATGTTTCTTGGGGAACTCTGAAGGACATCTTAGCCCTTTCTCAGGAATAGGGGAACAGGAGCTCCCAGCTGTGAAGACTGGAAATCCACCTGGAGGCCTCAGTCCTCTTCCTTCCTCTTGACTTCAGAACTCTGCTCCTAATGCTAGCCCACCCCCGCTCCCAGCCCACCTTCACATTCTTCCCTAGAACTCCTTCTCATAGATCCATGGAAAAGCAGTCAGAGAGGCAGACCAGGGCCTATTAGCCCTATCTCTTCTGACCCAAGGAAACAATGAGATCACCTGTGATCCTAATTTTGTTGTTTTTATAATATAAAAATAGATTATTGAGCACCTACAAAGTGACAAACAATATAGTGCCATCCACATAAATATTATGTCTAAGCTGGGAGCACCTCTGCAGAGGGTGAGGGTGTTTAATTCAACCTGGTGGGAAGAGAAGGTTTAAGGCAGAGAAACCATATTTAACCTAGAACTTCAGGCAAAGGAGCCAAAGTCATCAACGTCCCTTCTAGCTGTGCCATGGAACCTCTATATTATGGGTGAGTACTATGGACCCTCTCTCTATTATGGGTGAGAAAACTGAGGCTCCAAGACCTTAAATGACATTCTCAGGGTTTATCAGGTGACTGGCAATGCAGAAACTTAACCTACATAGTCTCACACCAAGCCTATACAGTTTCCCTTATTCTAGGCTGCCTTTAATTTTGCTGCACCTTCCGGAAACTAATAAAATCTACCCAAAGGGCAAGGTAGAAGAAGGGCTTGGTAAGTAGGACAGCTGCCCTGGGTATACTCTCAGAAGGGAAACCAAGAGGGAAGCAAAGAAGACTCCCCTTCACTGAAACTTGGGGCACTCACCTCTTCTTTCAGCCCCAACTCCCCTGGCTATGACATGGGTAGGCCTCACAATGGAGATTAAAAGGCTTGTCCTCTACCAAGTATTTCCTAATTATCTAATTAGAGCCTCTCATCAACCTGTCAAGCAGATATCATTAATCCCATTTGACAGATAAGAATGTTGAGGGTTTTAGTTAGTTCCCTTAGTGATAAATCCATTGCTTTATAAAATGCCAAACTACTGCCCTACCCCTCTCCATGTCTCCTTAAGAAGGGACTTTGGTTTGTAAGCACTATTTCAGTATTAATCCCCAAGGAATCCCACACTGAGGACCCATGAGTCCAGGAACCCCTCTTGGACTCAGGACACATGACCAACTCTCCCCACTTAGATTCAATGTGGAAGGAGAACAAGTAGGAGATTCATTATCACTGTGATTATCTGGGCTAAACACACAGAATGTTTCATGCCTGGAGAAATTGAGGGGGGCCTTTGGCACTGTTATCAGCCTCTGGAAATATTTAGAAAAGAATGTCCTTGGAGAGAAGCCCAGACATACCTGGGAGCCTCTGGCTCATAGTCCCAGGCACAGAGAGGGAAGGCAGATCTCAGGGGCAATGCTGTGACCGGCAAGGACTGAAGGAGCTCGTCACTTGATTCTTAGAGTCCTATCCCTAACACTTCATGAGGGTAGTAGCCCCAGAATCACTTCCACTCACATTATCTGCATCTGCTGTGCCCCACACCTTGCTTGTATTTAATAAAGCAGATGAACCCTTGCAAGGTGTTGGCCACTCTTCTTAAAATGGCCAAGATGAAAATGGAACAGTGAGAGAGTGGAATTTCTAACTCCCAAAAAGCAAAGTGAGGCCCTCGCCCCACCCTACTCACTTAAGACAGCCTGACCACTTAAAACCACCGCTAGGCAGAGTTCCTAGGGTTCAGTTCTCTGCTCCTCCACTCTCTGCGTAGGACCAGGTAAGTGTTCTAAAGATCTGCAAAGCCGTCCCTAGTTACCAGTTACTCTGGCTGCAAGCAAATGTAAGGCAGGGGAAATGCACAAAGTGGGATTTTGATCTGTGCACTCATTTTTCCAACATCACTGACTGACTTCTGTACCAGACTCTGCTGAGCACCAGAGATATAGTTCCAGCCTTCCAAGGGTGGAGAGAAACTGAGACAAATATGCAGGCATCACAGCACATTATAATGAGTTCTGGGACAAGGGTAAGCAAAAGGGCCTCAGAAGCAAAACAACAATAGCTCAGCAAGCTTTTTAGGCTCCAAAAGCTTCCCTGAGGAGGTGACATCTGAGCCATGACTGTGGGTCCTGTTGCAGGAAGGTAATGGGGTGGGGCACAGGCAGTTAATGGGGAGGGGGCACAGCAGCATTCAGTTAGACAACAAAAACATATTGTCAAAAACTGGAAATGAAACAGTAGATAAATCAGACAAAATGGTGGCTCTCATGGAGCTCACATACCATGAAGCCAATTAAAGAGTAAACAAATAACATTTCAGATAAAGATAAGGGCACAAAAGACAAGACAGAGTGATAGGACAGAGGAAGATGGGTGTGGGACACTCATACTGGAGACAGGGGTCAGAAAAAGCCTCTCTGAGGATGTGACATGTGCACTGTGTGATGAGAAAACACCAGCCATTCTAAGATCCAGGGAAAGTGCATTCTAACCGCGGAAGACAACAAGAGAAAAGGGTCTTCCAGCAAGAATAAGATTGGGGGATTCATGGAACAAAAAGAAGGTCAAGGTGGCCAGAGCATCAAGAGTACAAGAGAGTTTGAAAAGACGAGGTGAGAGGAGAGCAAGGACCTCACCAGGTAACAGGGTCTTGCAGGGTATGGCAAGGAACTTTGGTTTAATTATGAGTGACTCGGCGGAATTTCAGCAACAGACCTGAACTAGTTTGTTTTCAAAAGTACATCCTGGCTAATGCAAAGACCCAGAGAGAAAGAGAACAGACCTCGTTTGTAAAGCTGAACGTGGCTTAGTGTAGCTGGGGTAAAGGGTACAGGGCAAGGGGTGCTGCAGCGTGGACACTAATCTACTTTTTAAATGGGCTGAAGACTGAATCCTGATCCTAGACACAGACCAAGCTGAGATCGGAGCCCCAGGAAGATCACTAAGTCGCGATCTTGGCCACAGCCTGACTCTGGATGTACAGCATAGAATGAGCCTGACCTTACTCAGAGCCCCCACCTGCACCCCAGCTGCAGCCTGATCCCCAGTCACAGACTGAGCATCAACCACACTCACCCTGTTCACACACCAAACCCCAACCCAACCCCAGTGCAGTCCCAGTTTAACCCCAACCCAGCCTGTCCTCTGTCCCCATTTATATCAGCCCCTGCCAGCCTCTAGACAGGCATGCTAGCAAACTAGTCACTGAAAAACTGCTTGAAAAACTACATCCAAAACCCACACACTTCTCTTCAATGTGCAAACGTAGAGATTGCTAAGGCTGCCTGTCCTTTGAGTCAGGGGCTTCCTGCACATCTCTGACTTCTGGTTCTTCACAGCCTGGCCTCTCATGCTCTCAGCAGGTCTAACAGGAGACCCCTAGTTACAAGTAACCCATGCACCTGGACATGCCCCTGGCCTCCTGCACTCACCTCAACTGTATGGTGGGAATGTGTGACCCCCGCTTTGTCCAGTCCTCCTCCCGAAGAGGTCTGGCAGGCTGCACTGAAATACAGCCTCTCTGTCTCCGCCTACTCCCGTGGACCTCCCTGGTCAGGGTTATTTATTCTCTGCCTTACCCCCTCCCTCCTTCTGCTTCTTCCTGAGGGGTGGGGCAGAATGCTGTCCAAAGGGTTCATCAGCAGGTACACCTCACTAGCCCACTGTAGTTTTGGTCTGCTTCTCAGCTTCCATGCCCTGGGAGGATGTGCCTGGGGGGGGCAAAGAGGAAAGGGGCCTCTAGAGTCCTCCCCAGGTGGGCCACTGGGATCCTCATGCCAGCTCCCAGCATGAAGTTAGATAGGGAAAGTGAGTAGAAAAAAGCTAGAAGAAACTCATTAGTGTAGCCAGCATCTTCATGGATGGTCTTTCCCCAAGTCTTATCTTAGGCTTACCAAACTCAACCAGGAGAACAGCAAAGGGAGTTTGCAGAGAAACACGACAGTAAAGTGTCAGCCCATTTCCATCCTGAAGTGTTCTTTCTGTCCAGCCTTCTGTCCTTTGATGGACCCTATTTAGGTCCTTGTTGAGCTTGGAATCCACTGAGTCCATCCTCTTTTTCCCGAAGCCCTAGGCACGTCTTTATTTTTGTCTCCCAGGCTCTGGTGCCTGTGTCTGGCTAACTCATAACCGACGTCCCTAGGGACAGTGCCTCTGCCAACCATCCACTCTCTTGCCTTGGTTACTGGTTGAGGACAGAGGATGTGGTTTCTTTAACCCTCCCCACCCTCAACACCAGCATGTAAGACCAATGACATACGGTTTCTCTTTTAAGGGCAGAAATAGTGACAGAACATTTTAGAGAGATAGAAAACAATTTAAATGTAAAACTAAATACCTCATATTATGAAATAAGTAAAAACTACATCTATAAATAAAACCACATGATTTGTAGTTGGTCTCTCCTTATTTTTTACTGATCAGTTTCACAACTGTAAGTTTTAAACAGAACACAAGGCATTCTAACTCAAACTATGCAAAATTAGATAATGGCAAATCAGACCATTCTAACTCAGACCACATCAAAATTACTTGTGACAAGAGTTTCTGGTGCCTGCAGATCCTGAAGCCTGACACTTGCTATCAGAACCCCAGAACCATCTCTGCTGCTTCCGTTAACCTCATTAACTTAGACTTGGCAAAGACTTTAAAAAATGCCAAAGGCGGTGGCTCACGCCTGTAATCCCAGCACTTTGGGAGGCCAAGGCAGGCGGATCACGAGGTCAAGAGATTGAGACCATCCTGGCCATGGTGAAACCCCATATCTACTAAAAATACAAAAATTAGCCAGGCGTGGTGGCACACGCCTGTGGTTCCAGCTACTCGGGAGGCTGAGGCGGAAGAATTGCTTGAACCCAGGTGGAGGTTGCAGTGAGCCAAGATTGCACCACTGCACTCCAGCCTAGCGACAGAGTAAGACTCCGTCTCCAAAAAAAAAAAAAAAAATGCCAAAGGGACTTCTACTTCCATCCAATATGGCGTAACGGTGAGACACGTGGAAGGCCAGTAAGACCAGACACAAGGTGAACAATGAGGTCAACGCTAGTTTTTTCAGCTTCCTGCCTTAAGGGAATTTCCATGTGTCAATAGAGGGGATGCTGACTGGCTTCCCCTCCACCCTTGCTTTCCCAGAGGTATCAGGGGAAACTCCCTACAACTGAGGCCTTTTTTTTGTACTTTGGGCTCTGTGGTACATGTGCACATCCTACATCCTGCAGGATTGTTGCATAGGTACACACATGCCATGGTGGTTTGCTGTCTCCATCCCCCCAACCCCCCCGTCGCCTACATAAGGCATTTCTCCCAGTGTTATCCCTCCCCATCCTCCCCGGGCCCCGCTGTCCCTCCCCACCCTACCCCCCACCTAGCCCAGTGAGTGTTGTTCCCTTCCCTGTGCCCAAGTGTGCTCATTGTTCATCACTTGCCTATGAGTGAAAACATGCAGTGTTTGGTTTTCTGTTCTTGTGTCAGTTTGCTGAGAATGATGGTTTCTAGATTCATCCATATCTCTAAAAGGACACCAACTCATCAGTTTTTATGACTGCATAGCATTCCACGGTGTATATGTGTCACATTTTCTTTGTCCAGTCTATCATTGATGGGCATTCGGCCTTTGAAAGACCAGCAAAGATGGGAAGGAAGAGGTGAGGATAGTGTGACCTGCTATTGAGGCAGAAGGGCAGGGTTTAGGGAGGCCAGTGCCTCAGGTAGCAGAGGCAAGAAAGGTAGGAAGAGGTGACAAAAGCCCTTGAAATCCTTGTGTTCAGGATGAAGGTGTGGTCCAGCCTGTGAAAAGGTGGAGTGAGGAAACACCATGTTTCCCTTCTTTCCCACAGACTAAGCTATAACCCAGGCTGACCCCAGGCCAAGAAACAGGGCATCTTAGAGTCATGTCTCTCAACTTTGGAAATTATTTCTGCTGCTCACAGCTAGACTTCTTCAATCTCCCTCCTCTAGTCCAAGATACATACAGATACCACACATTAATCAATGCTCAGAAATACAGATGCTGTTCCCACCTTTGTGTCACACAATACACACCCAATACAAAGTTTGCCTTAAAACATATACACAAAACATATGCACTAAAATACCATCAGTAAAACAATATGCACACAGAATTCAGACATTATATTTCACCAACTTACCACTAATAATACATATACCACACAAAATGATTTTACATCACAAATATTATGCACAGAAGACATATGCCCAAACATGCTGAAAGATATAGGCATCCCAATACTACACATTCCACACATTCATGCACCACACTCACATATTACAAATCTAAAAAAAAGGTAGAGGCAGCAATGAAGAGGGAGTCCACACTTGTGACTGAGAGGATGATGAGGAGTCTGTAAACTACATTGACCCTGGTGTCAGTACAGGACAGTTTTATAATATCTTGGTGCAGATAGAAGGAGTGTGTGACAGAATGTATTCTTACCAGATACACATAAAGGTACTGCCCACCATCCAGGTACAAACACCAGCATTCTCACGTAGACGCATATCATATACCAACTAACAGATTCCACAGAAATATAATAAATGTGCAATCAGAGACATGACTTATGAAACATACATGCCATGACATAGCTACCACAGTCACCAGGACACGGCCCACACATATCATGTGTCCATGTGTACACTCTCTCGCTCACATACACACACACTGAAAAGCACATGTCCACATAAACACACCCACACATTCACACCCACAACCAGAATACATGGCACTCTTATGGACAAATAGTCTTATAGAGCCACACAGAAGCACATGGCAGATTTCACAAATCTGCCAATACATCCTCCTGCATACAGAAACTTAAACATTGCATGTGAGCTGCTTGTTCTCTTGTTACTGTCTCTCTATTTACTATCCCCCAAATACCTTCAAAACCCCTAATTATGACTGGGTAACCATTTTTAAGTATTTGCAATAACTTTTACAGTCAACACAAATTCATCAACATGGGTACATGGGGGCAAGAACATTAAAATCATACTTCAAGTCTGGAATGAATCATGAGGTATGATCTTTATAGCCTCCCCATGTCAAAACTAGATGTATTTTCTAGCTGAGAAAGAAGGAGAAGCCAAGACCATCATAGCAGAGGGACCAGGACAATCATTCTCCAGAATGTCCAGACAAGGTCATAAGTTCAGTACCGACACATTCCTGGAGACAGAATACATGGTCTATTTAAATTGCTGGAAGAAGACAGCACAAAAAGTTTGATACTTCAATCACCAAGGCATTCAATAGGATCCTAATAGTCCCAGCTTCTGTAGTATTGAGAACACCAGGGTGTCTGACTTGCTACCTTGTGAGAACATACGGAGGACCCTTAGACGGATCTCTTTGGTCTTGGCTCCATAGACAAGGGGGTTCACTACAGGTGGTAGCAGCAGGTAGGTATTAGCCATAACCACATGGAGCAGGGAGGTGGGACCACCCAGCCTATGCACCACTGAGAGCCCAATAAGTGGTACATAGAAGACCAGAACAGCACAGAGGTGGGAGATGCAGGTGTTGAAAGCCTTGAGTGCTGCCCCCCAAGAGGACAGCTCCAAAACAGCCCACAGGATGAGGATGTATGAAAAGCCAATGAAGAGGGAGTCCACACCCATGACTGAGAGGATGATGAAGAGTCCGTAAACTACATTGACCCTGGTGTCAGTACAGGACAGCTTCATAATATCTTGGTGCAGACAGAAGGAGTGTGTGACAGTACATGTTCGGCAGTAGGACAACCGCTTCAGGATGAAGGGCAGTGGGAAGAAGAATACAAACCCCCTGATCAGGGCAGCTAGTCCGATCTTGGCCACGGTAGGCCCTGTCAGCACAGAAGCATGGCGCAATGGGTGGCAAATGGCCACAAAGCAGTCAAAAGCCATGGCCAGCAGAACAGCTGACTCCATGGCTGACAGGGCATGGATAAAGAACATCTGGGCCAGGCAAACATTGAACTCAATCTCCTGGATTCCCATCAGGAAAAGGCTGGTCATCTTGGGCATAGTGATAGAGGAAAGGACTATGTCAATGGTAGAAAGCATGGCCAGGAAGAGGTACATGGGCTCATGCAGATGCCTCTCCATGCGAATGATGAGGACAATGGTGAGGCTGCCCAAGGTGGCCAAGGCATACATAAAACACAGTGGGAAAGCCAGCCAAAAGTGTATGGTAGGCCCCAGGCCAGGGATGCCCACCAGAAGGAAGTATGCTGGGTGGACCAGAGTTCCATTTGAAGTGGCTATGACGGGGAGCAAGAGCTGGGGCTTCTGCATCCCAAATCCAGGGCCTAGGAAGGTAGAAATATCATTCGGTTATGGCTCAGAGGAGAGAAAGGACTAGTGAGGAAAGGGCATTGGAATGGTGACAGTAACAAACAGGACTAAGTCCCCCCAGAAATTCTGAACCCTAGTTTCTCTGCTCTGATTCTCCTTGTATAAACTTCCTGAACACCTTGAGCCTTACCCTGGCCCTTCAAGGCCCCAGCGCTGCACAAGCAGATTCTATTACTGTCCCATGAATCTCAGCATGTGAAGACCCACTCATAAAACATGTAAGACAGTCCTGCTTCTTCAGAGCTGATGTTGCTGCCCAGGGTACTGCTCTTAGCTTCTTCCCGTCAGAGTAGACTTGTAGGGTTGCTCCAAATGGTCCACACTGACCAGCTCTTCTGGTGTATGGTGGGATTAGGGTGGGTCTGGGTTCAGAGTTAGAGGCTTGGTTTATAGCTTCCTTTAAGACCTACTATAATCTAATTTAAGATAGGGAGCAGGGGCTCAGTCTGGAATGAGATTTCAAGAGAGGTTTTGTTTTTAGGCCTGAATACCATTTCTCAAATTTTCCTGATAGAATCATCTACATTAATGGAAAACACCATCCCTCCAGGTCCTACTCCAGGCCCAGAGAATCAGAATTGCCAGGGAAGGGTTTTGGAAATGTGTTTAAAAAACAATAGTCCCCTTTCCCCTAGGAAATTTGTTTTTCAAATCAGAGAACTTCAGAGAAAGTTGTTCTGGTGTTCTGGAGAGTAGGAAGTTGGGAATGAAGAGGGACTATCTTTTCGGTTTCAAGCTCCCAAACCAACAATAGAACAGCATGTGCTATTAGGGTCTCTCAAGGCCCACGTAAGAGTCAGTCCCAGCTTGTGTTCAGCAAGAGGAGTATGTCATGGAAATCAGATGCAGCTGAGACATGAAAAGAAAATCAGCCAGTGCTGCCGCTGTTACTCCACAGTGTTTACCGGCACACCCCGCCCTCCACCTACTGTCCCTGGTGATCACACAATGCCCCAGGCTCAATTTCTTTCTTTCCACAGACCACACTGTTCTAAGCCTCTGTCCTGAGATTCAGCCATATAACCTTCTGCCTTCTTGATATTTCTACCTGGATAACCTACGAGCCTCCCACTCATCTTGCCTCTAATAGGGACCCCTTCCAAACCTGTTCCTGATCTCAGAGAGTGCTACTGCCCAGCACCCACAATATTCAAGTCAGGCAGCTGGTCTCATCTTGACCCCTCTTCTCTGTCACCCCCACATGGAATTCAGCTTTTCCAATTAATCTATGGGGACCTTTCCTTTTAATACACCTTCTCCCAATGTTGTTATATTATCCACTCTGCCCTGATTATAAAAAGAGCCAACTTACCTCCCTGCCTCCAAACCTAGTGTATTCCAAACCACCTTCTACCCACTGCCATCTAAACAGAAAAACTGGACACCTCAGGCTCCTGTTGAGCAAGTTATGAGTGATTCCCATAGCCTTCCACATAAAGTGAGAAATAGAACTCCACAGTATGCACACAAGGCCCTTCACAGTGTTCCTCTAACTTAACTTTCCAGTCCAGCTTGTCTCCTTCTTCATCACCAATCACCACCACCACCATCACACACAGGTGCACATACACACACGTACATACACACACGTTTTTCCTGGTAAAGTAATTCCCCTTGCCTTGCTTAAGTGAAGAGTAGGAGGCAGGAACTGAGGAGTCCTGTCCTGGGACAAAGGACAGGCAAAGTTTGGAATGTGTCTCACAGGCTTGAAGAAACTCCTCTGTGTAGGAACAAAGTCCAGGAACCGGGCTACTGCAATCTGGAAAAGGTGTACGCTGGAAGACCTCTCCAAGCAGCTAGGCTGACTGATCAAAGGCCCGGCTTCCTTATGCAATGAGCCCTCTGTGCCCGTCTCTTCCCCTTGCCTCCCCTCCCTGGGCTGAGCCTGGCGCACTCACCACCAATGCCTCCCCCCAGGCATGGCGGCCGCCCGTATACAGCTTCTCCGGGGCCCCTCGGGATTGTGAGGAGTGATAAAGAGTGAAAGACTAGGGTCTCCCTGGCACAGACGCTCCGCTCAGACGCCCCAGGAAAGCTGAGCCCTGACTCCCGCCCAGAGGGACTGAGCTGTTACGATCCTTCTGAGCCCAGCTCCGGAGACTCTCGAGGGAGGCTGTATCGCGGTGTGGAGAGAAGAGGAATAAAGGGGCTGGAAGAGAGGAGCTGTGGAATAGAGGCGTGAGCACTCCGCAGAAAGCACACAGACAGGGATGCTAGCGCTCAGCACACACTTACTTCCCAAGGGCATGGGAGCCCTAGGGACCGACTCTCGCTTCTTCATGCTGCCTCCCTGTGGTCCCATAGGGGATTTGCAGCCTCGTGGCCGTCCCTAGGCAATGGCTCTGAGGATAATGCTTTTAAAGACCAAGGATCTAACTGACTGGAGTCTGAGCTCTTTCTACTGCTCTACGCTGCCCGTTAGTTCTCCCTCTCACTCACTCAAGCCCACCTTCTCTTCCTTGGGTCGCTAATCATAGCAGTCCTGACCCTCCAGAAATGAGGCCATGTGGCATATTTGCCTGAAGATCGGGCAGACTTGGGTCTCCATGAAGCATCTCAGTGCAACTCTCCATTCCCATCTCCAACCATTTTACCTCCCGTTTTGCACACATATTGGTACCAAAATATTTCCACATCTTCAGTGTTCCATGCTCTCACCCTTCAGCTTTCACTTATATTTTTCCCCCAGTAAAAATAGTCATCTCATTCCCAGTTGTAATTCTTAGCCTTTTCTGTTTAAACACCCTTGCTTAGAGGAAGGAAACAGACTTGGATCCACCCATTTATAAACAGTATGACTACTCTAAGCATCCATTTAATGTGGAAAACAAAATAAAATACTAGAAATTCTCCAGTTAATGTTTGTGTTCATTGTTATTAGTCAAAACAAATGGAAGAGCCAATAAAGTAGGAGGAAATCCAGTAGACAGTGCCACAAAAGGCAGAGGAAAAAATTATATTGAGAAGGAAGATTGGTCAGAAGTTCAGAAAGCTGCTGAGAGATCAAGCAGTGAAAGGACTGAAATCAAAGGTCACTGGCTCCCTGACGAACAGGGTGGGTGGGGTGGAATATTGATGCAGCAGTGGGAGGAATGTGTTAGGAAGATATGAAGAGTGTAGATGTAGACAACCCTTTCAAGATATTTGCTTATGAAAAGAGGAGTGAAATGAACAATACTTGGAAGATTTATACCTCCACAGAGATTTTTAAATGTGTATTTTGGAACTACAAGAGAATAAACGTCAACAGGATGGAGTTGGTAAGGAGGCTCCTTGTCCTTTACTCCTCACATTAGAGGTAGCTATGGCCCAGGAAGACAATCTGTCTCCCCTCCTCTATATAGTAACCATGAGTAATCTTTGTCCAATAGCTTTCATCACCCAAGCATGCCAGACCAATCTCCTAAACTCCAGATATGGTAAAGTCTATTGGACATAAGCGTCCCTTGGAAACCTCAAACTCAACACCTAACTCATTATTTCTAAGCTATTTTATTTCATTCTCAGCTATTATCAGTTACGGTCTTCAATCTGGATCCCGCTCCCTGTCTTTTTTATGTTCCCTGTCATATAAATCACTCTGTTGGGCATGTCAAAACTTAGAAGTCATCATCCCTACCTTCTCCCCTCTCTCTCTCACCTTCCTCCCCAAACACATCCAATCAGTCACCAAGTTCTCTTATTGTATCTACTAGATATCTATCTTATTAATATGTTTGCATTTCTCCATCTTTTTTGCCTTTTCTTCATTCCAAGCCAAGGCAATCTTTTGCCTAGATCATCAGAATCACTTGTTCACTGGTCAGACTCACCGAAGAACTTTCCTACCAATCTATTGTCTCTGCTGTGGCCAGTGTGATCTTCCAACCACAAATCAGTTCACAGCAATTCCCCATTGCTTTCAGAAAAAACAGCTGAATTCCCCATTGCCTTCAGAATGAACACTTAGCCCAGCTCATAGGAACTCCATGAACCATCTCAGTGCAGCTCTTCTTCTCCCATCCTCATCTCCAATTATTTTACCTTCCTTTGTGCATACATAAGTCCTATTGGCAACAAAGTATTTCCACCTTTTCAAAGTGCCATGCTCTCTCTCACCCTTCAAATTTCATGTATACTTTTCCCCAGTAAAAACAGTCATCCCATTACCAGCTTTAATTCTTAGCCTTCTCTGTTTAAACACCCTCGCTTAGAAAGACTTTTCTTGACCCCTAATCTTGGCGGGACCACTTTACTCTTTTTCCCTTTGTTTTACTGATAGCATTTAACATTGAGAGATCATTCTTCATCTATCTTTCTATCTTTGTAGGGGGGATGGACACTAATTGTATGTATAAAAGAAAACATGTACAGAGTCCTCTTCCATTCACTCTTAAGGCAGAAATTATTGGTCTTCTTGTTGATGTGCATTCATAACTTACAACCCTATTACTTCAATTGAGGTATGTTTGATGGGTAGGCCCTGTTAAATTATTATTAATATTAATAACATTATGCACCTAGTTGGCATAATTTCCACAGGCATTTTTCAGGCATTCTTTTTTTCTCTCTTTTTAACAGTAGTAAGAATAGATCTTATTAAGGTGGCCCACAGTATGATTTTAAAATAATGGTTTTCCCTGTACTTTTGTTTCAATATTTTTTAAAGGAAAGAAGGGAGGAAAAATCATTCAATGTAAATATAATGTTAAAAGGTCCAATGGATAATGGAGAGCTTTGGCAAACATATACTCATGGCTTAGGAGGTCCTAAAAGATACGAACTTGCCAAATTTAACAGCCCCATCCCATGACATCTCAACTCTCCCTCAATATGGCCCTGCACTGGCATTCTTCTAGTTTCTTAAGTGAAAGTTCTCTATCTGTATACCTCCTTCCAAGCATTTGCTCAAGTGGGTTTTGTCTGGAATGGTCAACCTCTTTGTTTCCCTCCTCTAAAAACTAACATTGCTTTAGATTCTGTTTTATGTGCTACTTTGTATAAGAAAGTCTTTCCT